TCTATTATACTAATCCAGGGTCTTTCCTTCTCACCCTTTCATTGCAGTAACTCCTAACTGTTTTTCACACCTCTAATCTCAGTCCTTCCTAATAAGATTAGTCTTCATATGTAACTTTCATTGCCTTTAGGATAAAATCTTATATTTCCTGGTCTCCATTTATTCACTTCTCTGCTTAAGCGTTATCACTGGCACGATTAGGCAAAGTGGAAGCTTCACCCATCTTCACAGCCTTCCTTTCCTTCATCTACAGAATGAAATTGCTTACTAAATTATATCACTTCTTTTATTTTATTTTATTTTATTTATTTATTTATTTTTTGCGGTATGCGGGTCTCTCACTGTTGTGGCCTCTCCCACTGCGGAGCACAGGCTCTGGACGCGCAGGCTCAGCGGCCATGGTTCACGGGCCCAGCCGCTCCGCAGCATGTGGGATCCTCCCGGACCGGGGCACGAACCTGTGTCCCCTGCATCGGCAGGCAGACTCTCAACCACTGCGCCACCAGGGAAGCCCAAATTATATCACTTCTGACACAGGAATGTCTTTAAAAAAATTTTTTTTTAGGAATGTCTTTTGAGTCCATATTTGTTCTCCTCTGCCTATTCTAATCTAGTCCTCATCTTCTCTTCTTTGGACATTTGAGCAACCTCCCAGATGTTTGCTCTGCCACCAGTTTGTAGTTACCAGATTTATCTCTCTGAGCAAAGATCTGTTATGTACCTTCTCTGTTCTCAAAACCTTTTGCTCCACACTGTTTATATATGAAGTACAAGTTTCTTTGCAGAACTCATTTGGTCCCTTCCCTTTACTTTTCTAACGTAACCTCATCTCTTGCACCTTGTCATCATGCCCCCAGCTTCCAGCCATACTGAATACCAGCAGTTTCCTGGTTATTTCTTTCATGCCCTACTTCTATCTGGAATTCTCTGACCCTCTCGTCCCTTTTCTGCCTGGGAAACTCCTCCCTCAAAGGCATCACTGTGTAGTTATCTTCCTTAAAGCTCTGAGAAGAAATACTAATCTCATTCTCTCTGTGCCTGTTATGCATATGTCTTGGGTGCAGAGGGAGTCATATCAGAGTCATCTGTTTATATTTCCCACTCAGAATCTCTTTCCAGGTGGATTGTGAACTCTGATATCTAGGGTAGCTAGTCTTTAATTTTGTTCATCCTCAGAGTTTGGCACAGTATTGGAACATAAAATATTGACTCTGTGTTTGTTTGTTGCTTGATGTAAAATAAAATAGTAAGGACCCTCTGTTTTCCTTAGAAACAAAAATGGATTTTAACCCTATTAGTTTGAAGACTAAAGTTTTTCCCTTGGTTTTGCTTGAGCTTGAATTCCTTCATCTTTTCTTAAAAGATTCTTCTAAATGTTTTGTCTGTCCTTGGCCCTTGGGACCAAAGATGGCCCAGGGCTGATCTGGACACCTGGTAGTATTATTAATAGGAGCCAAAAAGCCTTGGACCTGTCTAATTATGATTGTAACGAGTGGGGTTTGACCAAACCTTAACTATACTTGTGCATACGAGCTGCTGAATGGTGCTTCACCTTGCTAAATGTGACTGGAGGCTGGTGTTCAAACTTGGACATTTTTGAAAGGTATAAGACTAATTTTTCATTAGACCAGTTCCTAATAGTTCATTCAAAAGATGTTCCTACTGAAACTGCGTCTTTAGGCTTGAGAAATTCTTCCCTGAATTACATTTAAATTCTACCACTGAGCCTAGTTTTCTGCCTGAGATAATGCTTTCATTTTAAGGCAGTGATTTCTACAATTTGCACAAATATGTGCTTCTTATTTTTTGTACTATCTATAGAATTGCTTGCATCAAGAGTTTTCCAGAACATAGTGTCTCAGATGGAAAATGTAATAGAATCCCAGTCTCTGCCAAATTAATTTTTCTATTTTGTAGTTATATAATGTTCCCATTGAACACTTGTTTTTCTTTGTGATGAATGCTGAGAGGGAAGCTGGCATGGTTTTGATACATATTACAGATATATAGGAGAAATGTCTTTAAATTCAACACATTCTATATTAAATAAATCCATGTTTATACTATAAATTTATTTTTAATTCACCTGGATTTATTTAGTAAACTCCTTTAATTATTTTCAATGTGCAGCTGCTCTAACGGTAGTATATAATATGCACTAAAATTTAGAAAGCAGTTTCTCTGAAGGCTTTGGAATTGCTCTGTCTTTATTATAGTAAATAATAAACTTCTTTTATTTAGATAAAAGTAATTTAGAAATAAAATAGTTTTAGGGAAGAACTGGGCTGCCTCTAAAAGCCAGGTTATCACAGCCATGGAGGCCAGGTTCACCTCCTTTTCAGCCTTGTCAGGTAAAAGAACAAATTATACCTTTATGATACTTAATATTATGTGTGCCTGAAACATATAAGCCATGGAGTATGAATTTTCACATGAGCTCCTGGAGAAGGGCTCTCACATGGGATGAGAGCAATAAGGCTTCTCTGCCCCATGTGCCAGTCACTGAAATATTTGTGGGCATTGTGGGAAAGGATAAATCTTTAGTTTTCATAACTAAGGTATTGGCATCTGACCACAGATTGGTGTTGACATAGCACAGTGATGAAAGTGAGTCCATATGCCCGCTGGGATTCTGCCACTCCTTCATATGGTGAACCTCAGAGGTGTCATATCATCGCTTATCATCCAACAGCTAATATACAAGATAACTGATAATGATATATGCACTTTATTTCATTCTCAATGCAAAAGCTGCAGATAAATCTTAAGTTTGCAGATCTTTGAGTATTTTATTAATTTAGCAGATGGAAGTTATATTTAAACATATTAAGTGAAATAATTACTGGGTTTGTTCCTAGATCCTATTCATATAATTCAGAGTAAGAGGCCTATGCTTCAGTCTATTCTGCTCAGGCTTTCAAATTCTTTTGACAGCCTGGATGTGAAATTCAAAAGTCATTAATGTGATGTGTTAATTTTGCACTTTTTGACTTACTGCAAAAATCTTATAGTTTCCATAGCAACAATAACCTATCCAGATTGTGTAATATTCTTTACAGTATTAAAAATAAAACTATGCAATTACATGAGCTTTTGGAGCACTTCATTTAGGGGAACTGGGGATTGAAATATTTCTGTTTAAAAGAAAATTATAATTTCATATGAAAGTTTTGTCAGAAAACATGTATAACTTTAAGAATTTATTCAATTAAATATTTAGTAGCAGATACCTGGTAGTTAATTTAATTATTAATTGTATGAAATTTACATCGTAAGCATTGTGTTAAGCATCTCAGGCACAAATGCTTTCACACACATACCCATACATACTTTCAAGGTATGGGGGATATTTGGCTTTAATTACATTCAGTCACCTTCACCTGCTGCTTGTACTACTTAGTGGCCTCTGGGTGGTCTGAAAAACGTGTAGTTTTATGTTTGGAGGAAACAGGATGGAGAAAAAGGAACACTTTGCTCTTTAAAACATGCCTAAGATATCACTTTGAAAATATTAAAGATTGTTTTAATAGGTGACTGTTTTCAGAGTATCAAATTATTTTGTATTTTTTCTTTTTCCCTCTAATTCTAATTTAAAAGACAATATAATATTGGCATTAAGGTAGTTAACATAACTTTCTACATCTTAATACAACTTTTTTTATATCACCTTCAACATGTCTAAATGTATATATTTTTATACAGTATGATTTATGTATTTTCTCAGCAACATATGGTAAACATTTTCCATGTTTCTAATGATCTTCATGATATCATTTTAATAATTGCATAACAGTCTATCCTGTTGACATATGTGGTACAATTTCTGTTTATCAAAATGCTGCTTAATTGTTTCCTGAATGTCATATATTGGAAGAAAAATAGATATAATTTTCAGACTGTGGGAAAAAGTAACCATAACTCAATTATTTGCTCAAAACGATTGTGAAAATCTTTAAAATGCACATAAAATGATGTTTTAAAATGCATATTATGAGTAACCTCTTAAACTGCTTTATCTGCTAGTAAACACAGAATGGGGAAAATGAGGAATAGGTACTATCATTTGACAAAACCTTCATGACATGGTGATACCCTGTTGAGGCTCTAATATAATCAAAAGGCAAAACTCAGAGGGCATGGATTATACTCCTCTTGTCAGAATAACCAGTGGTAGGAATCACATTTGTGACATTCAGCTGGGGCCTTGCTGTGGCTGGTTCTGCTGTCAGTACCCTGGGGATACAGTGTTGCACTAGACACTCATCTGGTACTATTACTATTTTTATGGACCGTATCACCATTATTGAGCTGTTATCTTCCCTTGGTTAAGCACCCTGGTAACTAGCGGGGTTTCCCAGAATTCCTAATTCTACCTCCATTAATTGGCACATTCACTGTAACTACTGAGTTTTTCCTAGGTATCTTGAGAATGAGGTGTTGGTGGCCAATTTTGAAGTGTTTCCAAGGCTTTTGGTTGAGGTCTTAGGGATTTTGAATGTCCCCTGTCCTAGGTGAAAACTAGCGTGTCTTAGTGGGTAAACATTCTTCTATAACTCCCCCATTTATTAAGTGGGTCTTATACTGTGAAATTACTTTAAACAAATATAGAAGTTTACATCTGTCGTTTATTTTTGTAATTAATGTTTATAACAGAATGCTTTCATGGACTCCAGATAATTAAGACAGTAGAATTATCTTACAATATGCTTGAGTTTATATTTATGCTTGTTTACTTTTTGAAACTAGTGCTGTGTTTAGATTACTGTTCTCTTTCAATTTTGTACTTTGTGTTTTGGCTCTGTCTAGTGTTTTCATTGTGACATGAATTTTTTTGGTATTTCACATTATTGTAATGGAAATATTATCAGAAATAATAAGCAATGCATGCATAGTGAGGGTGTTTACATATTACTGAGAGTTGTGCATTTCATTGTTTTTGTAGTTACAGTTTTGAATTTGAAAACGTGTAGAAAAAAATAATTTTTTTTGTTCATATGCAGAAAAGATGAAAAGGAATATGCATTGAAGCAAATTGAAGGCACAGGAATATCCATGTCGGCTTGTAGAGAGATTGCAGTAAGTGGACATAAATACATTATCTATTTTGTTATGATATTGGATGGTGATTGATATTAATATAAAAGCTTCACTAATATATAGAATGCATGTTATTTCAAAGATGTTAATTAGTTTAAGGATATTTTATATAAGATGCAAAAAGTTGCCTAAACTTTTTGATTACTTGAAAGTCATCGTTGAACATTCTCTTAATGATATTTAGGATTTATAATCTTAGGAGTACTGAGCTAAATGATTAATTAATTGAATTATGATTGAGTATAATTATTAATTTAAATTAGTAATTTAATTAATATCTGTCTTTCCTGTAGTTTTAGGAGTGATATGTCTTTATAGAGAAGAGGGTGATACTGTTAGATACTATGCATATAAAATATTTTTTCTGAAATAAGTGTTTTGGTGTTACATTTTACTAGTTGCTAGAAAAATAAGACTATCATAATAATAGGAGAATTCCTTAAAGAAATATCATTTCTTTTTTTTTGTCTTTATATGGCATACTTGTACATTTAAGAAATGATTGTCCATAAGAATACCTAACATTTCCTGAGTATTTACCAGGCACCAGGCTTACTAAGTGCTTTTAAGTATTAATTTAATTTTCACAACAATCATGAAATAAGTACTTTTAATATCCCCATTTTACAGATCAGTAAACAGAGGCAAAATCATAATTATGGCTTAGAAGTCTTAATATTATGTTCCCTTATTTTAGTTCTTCAATTTCTTATTTTAGTGTTTTAGTTTCTTATTGGGGCTTTATCATGATATCACATCTATAAGGGATTTCTGTCTCTAAATTATTAAATATATTGTCCATATCCATTAGATATTTCTGTCTCTCATTTGGTAATTATTACATATATTGCCCACGGTTCCATATTTCTACTTCACTCACATGGAAGCACTACATCATCACTCTTAATCATAAGAAAAAGAATGATGCAAAGAACACATGAGGCAGGATTAATTTACAACTGAGTGTCTGCCTTAGTGGCTAAGCTAGCCATGAGTCTCAGTTTCCTTATTTGTGAAATAAGGGAATTATAAGGTCCCTTCTAGTCATAAATTCTTTGATTTCAGAATGGGAGCTTCTCACTAGACTGTGCACAGTTTGAAGGGCAGGGACCTTGTCTTTTTATCCCTAGTTCCTAGCATAACTACCTGGCACATAGCAGGTGCACCATAAATGTTTTTTGAATAAATCAATAAATAAACAGAACAAAATAGTTCTATATGATCCTAAGTTTGCTTTAGAATATAAATTTATTATTTAAAATTTTCATTGTGGCAGTTTTCCATTAACTGTAAATTGGTGTTTATAATGCCCTACCAGAATAAGCATTTGATATATGATTTTTAACTCCCTGAAAGTCATAAACATTATTATTTCAATCAATATGAATATTACTGGTGTGCAATTTTGCTATTTTAGAGTACCATAATTTAGTATAGCATTAATTCAACTTCCGTGAGTTAATTGGGTTAATAGCTGAAATTTAAGGTATTGATTATTAGGAAATGAAAACCCAATTCTAGATGTTCTTTTTGAAACAGAGACATATCTTCTGAGGAATACATGGGTTCTGTTTTCTCAGCACCCTCACTAGCATTTGTCATGTCTTGTTTTATGATAGTAGCCATTTTAACAGGTGTGAGGTGATATCTTACTGTGGTTTTGATTTGCATTTCCTTGATGATTAGTCATGTTGAGCACCTTTTCATGGACCTGCTGGCCATCTGTATATTTTATTCTTTGGAAAAATATCTGTTCAGTCCCTCTGCCCATTTTTTTTTTTTTTTTTTTTTTCTTGCGTTATGCGGGCCTCTCACTGTCGTGGCCTCTCCCATTTGCGGAGCACAGGCTCCGGACGCGCAGGCTCAGTGGCCATGGCTCACGGGCCCAGCCGCTCCGCGGCATGTGGGATCTTCCCGAAACGGGGCACGAACCCGCGTCTCCTGCATCGGCAGGCGGACTCTCAAGCACTGCGCCACCAGGGAAGCCCCCTCTGCCCATTTTTTAATTGGATGATGATGTTGATGATGATTTTTGCAATTGAGTTGTATACTTTCCTGATATATTTTGGATATTAACCACTTATCAGATAAATAGTTTGCAAATATCTTCTACTCCGTAGGTTGCCTTTTCATTTTGTTGATTGCTTCTTTTGTTGTGCAGAAGCTGGAAAAACTTAACTCTTAAACTCATTCACAGTCTCTATTTTTATTGAGGGTTTGCCTAATAGAACTTTAGGAAGTATGCAGAGTTTCTGGATTGAATATTTTTTTTTATCATTTCCTGAATGACTTAACTGCAACATGATAGGGATTTTGACAGAAAGTTAGCATGTATGTTATTGCACAGTGGCTAAGTGAATACGTCTTTGTAAATTATAAGCTCATGGACACAGTTTTATAATTATTGCTTTATGCAGTTGTCTTTTTTTTTACGTCTTTATTGGAGTATAATTGCTTTACAATGGTTAGTTAGTTTCTGCTTTATAACAAAGTGAATCAGTTATACATATACATATGTTCCCATATCTCTTCCCTCTTGCGTCTCCCTCCCTCCCACCCTCCCTATCCCACCCCTCTAGGTGGTCACAAACCACCGAGCTGATCTCCCTGTGCTATGTGGCTGCTTCCCACTAGCTATCTATTTTACGTTTGGTAGTGTATATATGTCTATGCCACTCTCTCGCTTTGTCACAGCTTACCCTTCCCCCTCCCCATATCATCAAGTCCATTCTCTAGTAGGTCTGTGTCTTTATTCCTGTCTTACCCCTAGGTTCTTCATGTCATTTTTTTCCCTTAAATTCCATATATATGTGTTAGCATACGGTATTTGTCTTTCTCTTTCTGACTTACTTCACTCTGTATGACAGACTCTAGGTCCATCCACCTCATTACAAATAGCTCACTTTCGTTTCTTTTTATGGCTGAGTAATATTCCATTGTATATATGTGCTATGCAGTTGTCTTTTAAATCACATAGAAGAAAAAAGAGTTAAGAACAAAAATACATTTATGCTGTCTTTTCTATTTACCCATGTTGTTACCTTTACCAGTGCTCTTTATTTTTTGTGTAGATATGGGTTACTGTCATATATATAGTTCTTTGATTTTAACTGAAGGTCTCCCTTTAGTATTTTTTTGTAGAGAAGATCTAGGAATGAATTTTCTCAGTTTTTGTATTTGGGACTATCTTAATTTCTTCTTTTTTTCCTTCATCATCTGTTTCTCCTTTGTTTTTTGCAGCATAGTTTTGACGGATATAGAATTCTTGAATGACTGTCTTTTTCTTTTTTCACCTTGACTATGTTATCTCACTGCCTTTTGGCCTCCTTGGTTTCTGATGAGAAGTCAGCTGTTAATCCATAAAAATCTCTTGAACATTAGGAGTTATTTTCTTGCTACTTTCAAGATTCTCTCTTTGTCTTTTGAAAGTTTGATTATATGTGTGGGTGTGGAACCTATTTGGAATTCGTTGAGTTTCTTGGATGTAGAGATTAATTTTTTTTTTTTTAATCAGAGTTGGGAAGTTTTCAGCCATCATTTCTTTAGATATCCTTTCTGCCCTTTTCTTTCTCTCCTCGCCTCCTGAGACTGCCATTATGAGTATATTTATAGGCTTAATGGTGTCCCAAAGGTCACTGAGGCTCTGTTGATTTTTTTCTAATTCTCTTTTTCTACTTATTGCTCAGACAGGATATTTTCAATTGCCTATCTTCAAGTTTGCTGATTCTTTCTTCTGCCAGCTTGAATTTGCTGCTAAGCCCCCCTCTAGTGAAATTTTCATTGTAGTTATTTTACTTTTTGATTCCAAAATTGCTATCTGGTTCTTCTTCTTTTTTTTTTAATAGACTTTACTTTTTAGAGTGGTATTAAGTTTACAGCAAAATTGAATGAAAGTTCTAGAGATTTCCCATATACTCGCTACCCCCACACATGCATAACCTAACCTATTATCAACATCCTCCACCAGAGTAGTACATTTGTTACAACTGATGAACCTATGTTGATACTCAAAGACCATAGTTTACATTAGGGTTCACTCTTGGTGTTGTATATTTTATGGGTTTGGACAGATGTCTAATGACATGTATCCACCATTATGGTATCATACAGAGTAGTTCCACTGCCCTAAAAATCTTCTGTGCTCCACCTGTTCATCCTAAACCCGTTCCCCACCCCCCTTCCCCATAATCACAGATCTTTTTACTGTTTACATAATTTCACCTTTTCCAGAATGTCATATAGATGGAATCATACAGTATGTAGCCTTTTGAGATTGGCTTCTTTCACTTAATAATATGCATTTAAAATTCCTCCATATCGGTCATGGCTTGATAGCTCATTTCTTTTTAGTGCTGAATAATATTCCATCGTCTGGATGTATTACAGTTTGTTTACACATTCATCTACGAAAGTACATCTTGGTTGCTTCCAAGTTTTAGTAATTATGAGTAAAGCTGCTGTAAACATTGTGTGTAGGCTTTTTTGTGGACTTTTCAATTCCTTTGGGCAAATATCAGCACAGTTGCTGGACTGCATGGTAAGAGTATGTTCAGTTTAGTAAGAAACCACCAAACTGTCTTACAAAGTGGCTGTGCCATTTTGCATTCTCACTACCAGTGGATGAGAGTTCCTGTTGCTCCACATCCTCACCAATATTTGTTGTTGTCATTGTTCTGGATTTAGCCATTCTAATAGGTGTGTAGTGGTATCTTGTTGTTTAATGAAACTCTGCTTTAGCCTTTAAGTCCTGCTTGTATGGCATTAAGAGATGTGAGATTAGAGTCTTTTCAGATATTTCCTGGACATACAGCTTTGCATATTGGCATGGTTACAGTCTTTACTATGTAGTTTCATTTATAGAAAATTCGAGAAAATGAAAACTAATCTGTAGTGGTGGATAGTAGATCATTGACTGTGTGGGGATGGGAATAGAAACAGGGAGCATTACAAAGTCTATTACAAAGGAGCATGAGGAGTCT